CGGCCCGATGGGCTTTCTCAAGCCCGGCTCATGGGTCGGGCTTGGGCTTTGAATTTTCTAAAAAAACCCGGCCCGCTATTTTCTCTCTCCTCTTTAAAGCCCGGCCCGGCCCGGCCCAAGCCCATTAAATTTGGGCCGGGCTAGTCCGGCCCGGCCCATTGACGAGCCCTATGCTGGGTTTTTAAAACATTTGGAGGCCCCTAAATTTTGGAGGCCCTGTGCAGTTGCACGGCCCGCACATGCCATGGGCCGCCTCTGCTTTCCTTTATGTTTACATTTTGATATGCATTGAGAAAACTCTATAATACAACAATGTATACTATCATCACCTCCTTTAACCGTTAGAGGTGATGGGTTCACTTAGGATATAAAGTGATAACCACCGTTGAGGATCTTTCCCCTGAGAATATAAAGCAATAATCACCGTTGGATCTGCAATGTATCCCATACATCGTCGTTGTACGGTGTACGTTGACGTGATATCTACAAAGAAGACTTCTGCACTACTGCTCTTGTATATTGTTTGGTAGCAGAGGGACCTTATTTTGGCCTAATGATTCGACCAGCTCCTCTTCTGTGGCCTTCCCCGACATCATCGCATAAAATCCAATAACAATTATGAGTGCACCAACCAAACTGCAAGATTGTTCCAAAATTTTCAATAATTTGCTAAGAATAATTCTTTCTTAATCATGAACCAGACTTCTTAACAGGCCAAAGACTTTGTCAACCAGCTGTAGCTTTCACTAACTTCAATTATTCAATCAAACAAAAATTAGAATTCAATTCAGCCAGATGTTTACTATTCTTTTGCCCCTCCACAACCTCCAACTTAAGTAATAAAGACTAAAGATGACAGCAACAAGTTACAACAAACACTTGAATAGCACAGGTGGCAAGGTTGAAACAAATGAGATGAACAATATTTATACCTTCCAAGATAGACTGAATCTCCCAAAAAGATGACACCCATGATCACACTAAAAATTATTCCAAGAGGCTTGAACATAGAACAGAAAAAAGCTCCAGCCGTCCACACGCACCAAGTGACTAAACTGTAGCGAAGAACAATCGAAACAATTCCCTATATATGGTGATCGTGCAAAAAGAATTTAATTGCATCCACCAGTATACTTGATTACGAAAAATCTTTCAAATTCAAAACATGATAGGGTTGCTATTCTCTTACAGCGTATAAAATAGCAATCAGCCCCATGTCCAGCCTTAGCTCCCAGGCACTTGCATCTCTAACTGCAACTAAAGTAAATGCTACAGAGTGAATGGTTGCAAATAAGCATTGGTAAAAGACTATGAACACCACTGCTGGGTACTTCTTAACGACAAATGCCTGCAAACATTTGCTTGTTCTTTACTTCCGGCTCTAGAAAGGGTAATGGAATTGGTAATAGGCCTAGTTCAATGCATAATGTACCATAAATAAGTTGAGAAGGCTTCAGCTGCAAGAAAAAGCCCTCCCAGAATCCAGTTTGATTGTGATGAGAAAAGGAGTTGATTGGGTGAATTGGAAAGTAATATTGATTGCTTTATGATTGGCAGGCCTTTGTAGAATGTTACAACAAATGCTCCTGTGATTGATACTATGGTTCCACAAACTTTTGCTTGGCTGCTTGAGCTTCTCCAGTTCACCTTTTCCATCCTAAAACCACCCATTTCAAACAATTGAAGCATATTTCTTTTTACATAACAACAAAGACGACCTAATTGCAGAGTTTTCACCCTTAATTTCACTGGCATCCTCTGTTCCAATTAGTGGAAAACCAGAGGACAGCTGACCCGTTATAAAAGCTGCAGCGCTATAACTCATTTTCCAAAATTTGTTTTTGAATATGAAAGTCCTTGTCACTTCTTCAAATGTAGCCACTCAAGCTGTAGATTTGATTATCCTATTTCTCACCAACTCTTGTGATTAGATTATCCCATTGTACTTGGTTTCATACGAAATCAACTATAAACAGAAAGTTTAATATCTTTAGTCAAAGTCATGCACATATTCGCTCAGCAGTGGTCCCCAAGTTCAAACCATTCTTACTATCAGAAAAAAAGCAGAACCTGAAAATGATGGCAAGTAAGAAAGTGAATGCTGGGATGAGGTTAAGCATGGCCGTGGCAAGCGTGGGAGAGCTGTATGCTATGCCGATATTTCCAAATATCTGAGATGAACATCTGCATGGAGTAAGTAGAACAAATTCAAATGACCTCTATCTTTCTCCAGAATATGTGCATCAATAAGAACCAAAGAACAAAAAAAAAGGTCTCTAAAAGAGTGGAGTTGCTTTTTACGAACCCAAACAGGGCAAGCATGATATTAGGCCATAACTCCATATTTATGTTTATGATAATGGCTTGTTGTAACTGTAGATTATTCTCTACAAACTTTATATATATTGTATAATGATCTTATAAATAATATAAGGGAAAATCAGTTTCTACAAAAAGAATAGACAATAATGTCACACTTTATTCACCACACTGTAAAATAAATATATAAATGAAAGAAAGAGAGGAATTATATGTAACCTGTGGAAGGTGAGGATGTAAGGGAGAAGAATGAGGGCAGAGAGAGCATTGGCGTAGACGACGATGATGTATTCGTTGGTCCCTTTGGACATGGCTGCTTTGTTCAGTATCATACTCCCAGTCTGAGCCATAATCGCCACCACCATTCCAATAAATGGCAGAAATTTATCCATGCTCATCCGCTCTCTCTCTCTCTCTCTGACACACACAGAGTCAGAAACACAGGTACACATGAAGAAGAACCCACATCCCTGTTATTTACTTTGTCATAATCAGCTACAGTAATTTCCTGAATTATGGATGTGGGTTACTATTGAGGGTTCCTAAACCACTTGGCCTGTTTCAATTCTTTCCCCACGTACTTAATTTTGTTGTAGTGGAAGAAATGCATGGTTTGTATTTTTGTAATAGTTAATTCTCTTTCTTTGTCAAAAGTTGTATTTTTGGATGCAAAATATATTTTTCATAGAGCATTCTACGTGCAACCATGTAGATTTTTTTTCTGAGCAACGCTAAAAGTGTGGGAGCAAATTTCCTCACAAGAATATTCGATTGGAAAGATTCCCCTTTTTTTCTTCGCCGCCTCTTTCTCCTTGCAAAATAAATTGGATAAGAGGACCACACCCGGGGGTGTTGGCCAAAGGCCCTCCGATGCCTAAGTTAGTTCAATTGATTTAGGAAAAAACCAATAGCTAAATAGGGTACAGAGATATATATGTAAGGTGTAAACCGGGTGGCCGGAGCCTTATGTAAAAGAGAGAGAGAGAGAGAGAGAGAGAGAGAGAGAGAGAGAGAGAGAGAGAGAGAGAGAGAGAGAGAGAGAGAGAGAGAGAGAGAGAGAGAGAGATGAGGTGGCTAGGATTTGTGAGGGGAAGATCTCTACAGAGTTTTAGTAGAAATTCTGACGTACCCCAATTTGGTGAGGTTGGTGAGGTTGGTGTATATAGGGATTTAAATCAAATCCCTAATTGTGGTAGGTATTCGATCAATTCCTAATTTGATTAGGTAACTCCTCTTCTAATTGGGAAATGTGGTAGGAATCAAATCAATTCTCAACCTAATTAGGTAACATTCAATTTAATTGGGTAATCCCCAATTAAATTGAGTAACTCCCAATTAGGTTGAATAATTCCCAATTAGGTCAAACAATCCCCAAATGGGAGGAATTATTTGACCTAGGGTTCTGATTTAATTCGGTTCCCACAAATGCCCCCCAGCTTTTGCATGGCGTGTGGTGGCATGTAGGAGATGTGAATCAACTATTGGGTTGTCTAGCTGTAATTGGGCTTCCTTCTATGACTTGGGCTCCTAAGTGGAGGAAGTTGGTGGTCTGCCCCCTGCTTAGGATGTTGAGAGATGGGAGCAGAATGGTCCAGATTCTGATGATCTGCCAGTTGGGCAGGAGGAGTGTTCTGCTCAATCTCTCCCAAAGAGAAAGGCTGCTGCCAAGTCTTCAAGAGATGAAGCTACTCCTTCGCAGATAGAGAATGTGTCTCCATTGAGGAAGAAGCCAAGGTTCCCTTATGCTGAGAAGACTCAAGTGGGGTCTGCTCCATCATCATCTGCCAGGGCCAAACATCTCGTGGGCGCATATAGCACGAAGGCTGGTGGTATGCGTGGTGTCCGGGTTGTTCTGCCCAAGCCTCATGCTGACAAGCTTGAAAACCATGATCTGCTTTGTGAGGCAGCTCGTGCCTAATCTAGTTCTGCCAAGCGTCAAAGAGATGCAGACATTCCTCCTCGAAGTTTGAGTCATCTGCATCTGTCAAAAGATGGAGATCGAAGCGGGAGGTCTGGTCATGATCCAGCTGTTGAGTCACGGGCAGTCAAGCGTGGAGTTGATTAAGTATCTTTGAATCCTTTAGAGGTGAGGTTGGCGAAGGCTAAGAAGATGAGAGAGTCATCTGCTCGGGCGAAGGGTTCTTCTTCAGTGTCGGCGGTTGATCCCAAGGCGAACAAGTCTAGCCCTGCAAGGGATGCATGCATGTCTGATCTGCTCAAGACGAACTTCCTATCAAACTCGTCCTCCTGTGCTGAGTTGGTCGATCACATCTGTCAGGCCGGGGATCTTGGCACATTCTCGAGCCTTTCCTTGGAAAAACAAAAGGAAGCAACATTGCATCTGCCTTCAAAAAGGAGTAGTTCTTGTTGCTGAAACTATCCGATACTCATCTGCTGTTGCCCCCTCTTTTGCTGGTTACTTGGTTAGTCGAAAAGATGCCTACTTCCGTCTTGAGCGCAAGAATGTTGATGTCTCCTTTAGTTATGACAACCTTCTGGCTAGATTTGGCGCCTATAACAAGTCTGCTGAAAAGTCCAAGTTTGAAGCTACCATGAATGCATACAAGCTGGGCTACTTAGACTGCTCAAATGGAAATGATCCCTTCTATGCCATTGGAGATGGAGACATCGAGATGCTTTGTTCTGACTTTCTCCATGTGCAAAGTGAGAATGTTAATGCTGTGAACATGGAAGGAGCTGAAGAATAGGCAACTGGAGCGGATGAAGCTGAGGAGGACGCAGTAGATGAGATGATGGCAGACGTTGCGGAGCAGGCAAACGAAGCTGCTGAAGGCATGGCTGATTAGGTGGATGCAGAAGAGGCTGCTGATCAAGGGTCTCCTACTAGCACCTCGGAGTAGATGCGTACTTCTTTATTTCTTTTCGGCTTTTGTACTCTGCTTTCTTGTTTAGAATAATTGGTCTTATTCGACCATCTTCCTTTTGTTGAACTTGGTCGGTTGGTCAGCTTGCTATGGAAATTTCAATTATTTTTTCAACTTCAATCTGCATATTGACTTGTGAACTGCTTGAGTAACCAGCTTGTATTTTGATTGCGCATCTCCCTTTGGAGATTTATGAGTGCCGAGGTACCCCTTGAGAGACTTCGGGCGTGTTCTGCATATCTCGTAGGATGTTTTCCATTAGGAAATTGACAAGTGCAAGGGTCCCCCTTGAGGGACTCCGAGCGTGTTCTACTAGTCCCGTAGGATGTTTTGGTTGTTACCCTACATCTCCCGAAGGACGTTGCTTATGGGCAACTGCATGACTATCCTGCCCCCCTTGGGAAACGGATAGGAACCTGGATACTTCCCTCAGAAAGCATGGAGACCTCCTTTTCGGAAATTCCTGGCTCACCCTACGTCTCCCTTAGGACGCTTCTTTGCCGGATGCGTCTCCCGAAGGACGCTTCTGGTCGTCGCCATGCGTCTCCCTTAGGACGCTGCTTATGGGCAACTGTGTGACTATCCTGCCTCCCTTAGAAAACGGATAGGAACCTGGATACTTCATGCAGGAAGCATGAAGACCTCCTTTTAAGAAATTCCTGGCGCACCCTGCGTCTCCCTTAGGACGCTGCTTTGCGGGTTGCGTCTCCCGAAGGATGCTTTTGGTCGTCGCCCTGCGCATTTTATGGGCAATTGTATGACTATCCTGCCCCCCTTAGGAAACGGATAGGAACCTGTATACTTCCTTTAGGAAATTCCTAGCGCACCATGCGTATCTCTTTGGACGCTTCTTTGCGGATTGTGTCTCCCGAAGAACGCTTTTGGTCGTCGCCGTGTGTCTCCCGAAGGACGCTGCTTATGGGCAACTGTCTTTTGTTGTGGCACATTTTGGAATTTGCAGTAGTTGCTTCTCTTCTTCAGAAATGTGCATGGCTCAGTCATCTGCTTGTCGATGAATTGTGAGCCATTGTCAGTAATTGGTGATTGTGGGCAGCCAAAAAGGGAGATGATGTTTCTCTAGACGAATCGTTCCACATCGGCTTCTTTAGTAAAGGATAGAGCTTCGGTCTCAATCCATTAAGTAAAGTAGTCGGTGGCGACGATCATCATGTCTTTCTTGGCTGACGCTGGTGGCAAGGGACCCACTAGGTCGATGGCCCATTGCACGAATGGCCATGGACTATTTTGCGGATGTTAAGCTTCGGCAGGCAGGTTAAGGATCGGCTTGTACTACTGGCAGTGATCACACTTCTTGACATATTCAGCAGAGTCGTGGTGCATGGTAGGCCAGAAGTAGCCTATGTTTAGAGCCTTCTGGACGAGTGACTTGCCCCCAGAATGGTTGCCACACTTGCCATCGTGAATTTTGCAGGACCTCAAGTGTTTGATGGTATTTTATACAGGTGAGATGAGGGCCAGAGTATGATTTGGGAATGAGCATGTTGCCTTGCATGTAGTATCTCACGGCTTTCTGCTGGACCTTCCTAGCTTCAGACTTATCCATTGGAAGATTTTCATTCACCAAGTAGTCGATGATGGGGTCTTGTCAGCTGGGGTCTTCATCGATCTACATCGAGTCGATTGGCTTTATTTCTTTGATGCTTGACCGGTCAAGGTGTTTGACAGGGATGGAGCATCTGAACTGGGTGTCCAGCGCTGAACCTAAGCTCGCCAGCACATCTGCATGAGTGTTCTTCTCCCGTGGAACTTGTTGGATGGTGAAAGTAGGGAATTCTTTCAAAAGTCCATGGACTTTGTCGAGATACTGGATCATTCTTGGATGTTTCGCCATGTACTCGCCTGAGGCTTGATTCGTGATCAGCCAGGAGTCTGAATAGATGGCTAATCTTTTGATCGACAGTTCTTTTGCTAGGCGCAGTCCGGCAAGCAATGCCTCATATTCTGCCTCATTGTTTGAAGCAAGAAAGCCTAGTGTGATGGCTTATTCCAACAAAATTCCATCCGAGGTGATTATGACAACGCCTGCCCCCGCTCCTTTGTGATTTGACGCTCCGTCTACATGCAACTGCCACATGTCATTAGGTAGGTTTGAATCGGTAGGGGAGGTATCGTCGGCTTTTTCCTTGCTTTTCTTGACCAGCTTCTCTTCTTTGGCTATCGGAGTAAACTCTACAACAAAATCTGCTAAAGCCTGAGCTTTTATAGCAGTCTTCGGCCGGTAGAGGAGGTTGTATTGACTGAGTTCAATAGCCCATTTCATGAGTCGCTGAGAAGCGTCGGGGCTGTGGAGGATCGATCTCAAAGGAAATTTTGTCATGATAATTATCCAGTGAGCTTGATAGTAAGGCCTTAGTTTTCTCGCGGAAACCACAAGCGAAAAAAAAAAAAGAGCTTCTCCATTTTCGGGTAGCGAGTCTCTGCGTCGAGAAGAGTTTTTGAAGTGTAGAATACCGGATGTTGTGCCCCTAGCTCTTCTCGAATGAGAGCTGAGCTGACAGCTGAGTCGGACACCGCTAGGTAGATATACAAGTCTTCGCCTGGTATCGATTTTGAGAGTATGGGAGGTGTAGTGAGGTAGGTTTTCAAGTTTTGAAAAGCTACTTCGCACTCGTCATCCCACTTGTCCTTGTGTCCTTTCTTCAAGGCTTTGAAGAATGGTCCGCACTTGTCGTAGATCTCGAGAGGAATTGGTTGAGAGCAAGGTCTAAAATATCAGTGATATCGGAAATATAGGCAGTCCAAAAACACAGAAATGTCGATGGAAATATCGGGATATTATCGATATCGATAAAAATTGAATAAAAATCACAGAAATTGTAAGACAAACTTGGAAGTTTTTATTGAAACTTTGCAGGATGTTTATTTAGTTAATTATCTACTAGTTTATCACAAAAAATTGGAAGGAAATGCATTGCATGATGGATTTAACTGATTTAAGTTGATTATATAGTGAGCTGGCAAACATTGTAAGTGTAAAAAATATATAGTAATTAATGAAAGAAGATTAAACACACCATAATCATTTATATGTAATGAATTACTACAATATTTTACACTTTATACATTGCATGGTAAGATACATGAGTGACTTAGTACCACATAGAGTTCCTATGAGGTTCAAAATTTTCACTATCTTCATCATCTCTATGTGTAGAATAAGTATATTGTGAAGAGTAGTCATTCTCATCTCATGTGAAAATTTGTTTCTTGCAAAAAGAATTCAAAATAAAACCATGTATATATATAAATATTTTAGCATATTTTCACAAAAACATAAGTGATATGGTGGTTAAGGTGTTGAAGGAGTAAAATGGGAGGGGTTCGAATCCCCTTGGTGTTTTTTTCAATATCGAAATTTATCATAGATAATAAATGTTAGCTTGCAGACATTTTAAAGACGTTATAAATATTACACGCCGAAAATATAATCACAAACACATCCTCAGCGAGATGGATAAAGCGCTGTGGCTGTGGATAGAGGGGGAGGGGTTCGAATCCCTCTATGCGCAACAGGGGAGGCTTTTCAAAAAAATTCATGTATTTTTGGGTTTCATATCCCGATAATATCGAGATATATTGCCCAAATCATTCATATCGGCCCCCCATGGATAGTTGCGAAAATATCGGCCCCCCAAAAAACCGATATTATCGGGATATATTGACGATAACTCCATGCGATACTAGCGGAGCAGGCTGAATGCCTCGGTGAGGTTTTTGATGTGATCTGCATGCTTGGGGGCTTTGACCAGCATGTCGTCCACGTAGACTTCCATAGTTTTGCCGATGTCGATTCTCGGCAATGGGAAGTTGTCTTTGGGGCATGCCTTGTTGAGGTCAGTGTAATCGACGCAAACTATCCACTTGCCCTTTTCTTATTTAGCCACTAGAACAACGTTGGCCAGCCACTCCGAGTAGGAGACTTCTTCGATGAAGCCGACCGCTAGGAGTTTGTCTATCTCTGCGTTTCTTTTACGCCACTGGCTTGCTGGCATGGTTGACATGGAGCTGATGATAGATGATATTTGGGTCAATGCCAGGCATGTCTGACGGTGACCATGCGAACATGTCCTTGTTGTTCCGGAAGAAGGTGGTCAACTCCACCTTCTCATATGGGCTTAGGCGCGAGCCGATCCGAGGGTATTAGCTCGACGTCCTCTTCGGGTTTCCATCCTTCTTCAAGAGAGACCTCTGGGTGGATTTCTTCGGCTTGGTCCTGATGCTTTAATTGCTCTAAGGGAGTGAGATTCGGTTGTTCAACTTCCTTCAGATCTGCATGACTTACAGGGAGGAATTGCGTTTGCTTGCTTTTCTTCAGCCCTTGGGCCGAGCATTTCCTCGCCATTTCCTAATTGCTGTTGATTTGACCGATACTGCCCCCAGGGATTGGATAATGGATTTTCTGATGTGTGGCAGAGGTGATGGCGTTGATCTTGTCGATCCATGGTCTGCCTAAAATGCCGTTGTAGGGTGAGACCTCATTAATGACCATGAACGTTTGCGAGTTGATTACAGGTGGGGAGTAGACGTCGAGGTCTATCGTGCCCACGGTAACTGTTGTTGCACCATTAAAGCTGGTCAGTGATCTGGCTGATTTGTTGATCTTCGCTGCCAAGCCCATCTATTGGATGACTGCCAGCTGCAGGATATTCTGCGCTACCCTCGTCTGCATGGATTCGGTCAACCATGGCCTGAGTGATTTGAATGCTGATGACAAGGGCATTGTTATGTGGCATGTCGAGGCCGATCAGATCTTTCTTCTGGAAGCCGATCACAGGGTCGTCTTCCGCTGGTGGAAAGTCGGTCGAGATTTGGGAGATCACAATGGCTTGTTTGATATTCCTCTTCTTTTCTTTGTTGGTCAGCCCAGACTCCTCGGAGTTGGCTAGGATTGTGTTAATCCTTATGACCTTCTGGGGTGGCTCGTTGGCGGTGTCACAATCTTCAATCCGCTGGATGACCTGCTTTGCAATGAATTCTGTGCAGTGACCTTCTCTCACTAGTTCTTCAAGGTGCGCCTTCTAAGCGAAGCAGTTGTTTGTAGTGTGCCTATTCGTCCCATGGAAGGCACAGTATTTTCTGGTATCCCTCTTGTCCGGATCTCCCTTCAAGGGTGGCAGTCTCTTTACCCAAGATTTGTCTTTTACTTGGGCTAAGATTTGATGTATGGGGACGAAGAACTTAGTGTAGTTCTCGCCTGCCGGAGTGTCCCCTTGTGGGTGTGACATGCACTTGTCCTTGTTCCTATTGCTAAACCCATCGCTTCTTTGGCCTGCCCACTTAATCGACTGATCTTCCTGCTTAGTAGACTTCTTCGCGGTGATTTGATCATCATTCCAGAGAGCATAGCATTCTGCGATTGCGAAGACCTCTGCCAGAGTCTGGTTGGGAGCGATAGTTAGCTCGCGGTATAAGTCGTGTTCAGTTGGAAGACCTTTCTTGAAAGCAGAGGACGCGATCCGGTCGTCACATCCTACAATGTTGGCCTTTTCTGCTTTGAATCTCTTGATGTAGTCTTGAAGGGATTCGTCGGACTTCTTGCGTAGGTTGAACACGTGGTCAGGGTTCTTTTTGATTGTTCGGTAAGACGTGTGTTGTAAATTTTAGACAACCTGAAAAATGGAGATTATAAAGATTAGTCTAAACACAAATTATACTCGCAAGTGCACAAGGTCAATCGTAATATAGTATGGCAAATACGAGGTCATTCCCACGAGGATTGAGTTCAACTTCCAATTAGTCTAACCTAATTTCCTTAACAAAATACTTTAACTACTCTAATTATATAAACAAAAAATTAAACACGTAACATACTCACGTAAACACAAAAGGGGTTTGTTGAAAGAATGATTTAATTAACAACGAAATTAAAAGACAAAATAAGTAGAAAGTCACGAAACAGAACGATGAGAAATTCAAATTGATTAAAGCACTAGGACAATGAATTCACCACTAGTAATCCGATCTAGCCTCTTATTCACCTACCTATTAACTAACCATTTGATGTCGCCGCTTAGTTTTCCTTTTTCATGAATTACCTATGGTATTTAGGCTAACTCGTATATTCCTACATGCAATTCGCCTATGGTATTTAGGTCAAATATCAACACATAGAAACTCATTAAGATAAGTGAAAACCTCGAACAAGCATGTAAACCCTAGGAGTATGGTATTTACCCTAGACGAATTACAAATCCTAATCACATGAAGCAAGCATCAAATTAAGTATGGTATTTACTCTAATTTGCATCCGATTACTCAATTAAAAGTCTAGATGGTGATCAAGCATCAAGATAATCAACCAAGTGATTAAGCACAGTGATTAAGAATCCAACATCAAACGGCAATCAATAGATAGGTAAAATAAGAAAACTAGATTATCATACTAGGGCTACATCATGCCCTAGCAAAGAAAATTAGTTACACATAATCTTAGAATTCGACATAAACAAAAACATAAGGAAGAAACAATAAAACTTAGCCAATTGCGGTATTCTATTCTTACCCTAGCTGGGCTTTTACAGCAGCCCAACAATAAAGAAAAACCTAATTAAAACATAAATCCAAAATGGGTAAGTACTTGACTCCTCTTCCTACTTGGACTGGGATAACATGTCAGTTACTTTGCTTGCACGTTTGGGGTTGTTCCTCCTCCAAGAAAAATCGGGAAAAATATGTAAATTGTAGATTTTTGTCTTATCTTTCCATCCATATATCGCACGCCTTGAGGAAAAATCAGGAAAGTCTTCAAATGGTCATTCTTCCACAGCAGCACAGTTTTGACGGGATTGCATCTTATGCTGACTTAACTTCAAAGACTGCTCTCATTGGCTGCTCCGAAAATTCTAGAAAAATTCCACAATCATCTTCAAGATCTTAGCTTTCATCTCCAATTGGTCTTGTGCTAAAACTCCACCAAAAAGTCGTATTTCCGTTGAAAACAAATTACTTGCTCTGGAAAGCTGAAAATTAAGAAAATAAAGTAATAAGTCCTTTTTAAACCAAATTCTCCTACAAAAACTAAGTATAAAGAGTACATAAATATGTAATTTTATGGACTTATCAACGTGTATTCTTTGGTGAAGACGTATGCCAGCTCCTTGAAGCTGCTGATCGATCCGGATGGTAGGGTATGGAACTAGTCTTGGGCTGCTCCTCGCAAGGTCATTGCTAACACCTTGCACATCAGTGCGCCGTCAGCCTTGTGGAGGATTATAACACTTTTGAAGTGTTTTAGGTGGCTCTCGGGATCGGAATCCCCTTTGAAGTGTGTAAATGAAGGTGTGGAGAATCGTTTCGGGGGAGTAGCCTGCTCGATTTCGGGGGTGAAAGGCGTAGAGTTCGCCTGGTCCATCTCCTTACGTAGTGCATCTTTGAAGTTCCCGCTGATCTTCAAGTCTCGAAGTCGGTCATTCACAAGCTTCTCAACATCTTTTGCATACATTGCCAGTTGGCCATGCTGGCGACCTTCGTGATTTGGGCGCCGCTAATTGACCTCCTCGTTGATTCATAAGGTTCGGGCTTCTCGACTGCGCTACTTAAGCAGTGTGTTTGTGGACTGCACTTGCGAAAGATTTTCTGTAGCTTGTCGACGAGAATTGACTCTTCGAGAGTGAGCACCGGAGCACCTTTCCTCATGGTCCTCATTGTGAGGGTTATCAAGTTGACCTCCCTGGGAGCCTAGCATTTAAAGAACATTTCCCTGCGGGCCCAGGCGGGCGCGGATGTCAAGTCGTGGGCCCAGCCTTTCGCGCACGTTGTTCCTTAAACTCAATCTTGATGGGTGACTTCGTCTGCTCTGAGCGTGGCTCGCGGATGCTTGCGACATGTCGGCAATCTGATCACGTTGTTGTCCCTCTCTTTGTCTGCTTATTCCTGCCTGACCTGCTTGGTACCCATCAAGCTGCCTATCGGCACGTTCGTCCATCCTTCCCTCTTCGCCTAGTTGTCCAAGGCCAAGGTTTTGAACCAGATTGATTTGGTTGAGGAGCTGCCTCATCAAATTGCTTTGGTCATCCATTCTCTGAGCTACGGGCTAGGGTTTCATGGGAGGTGTACGCGGGAGCGTGTGTCGAGCATGGAGGCAATGGAGGGAATTCTTGAAGTTGTTCCAAGATTGGGCCCAAGTCGGCGACGGCAATGAGCCCACCTTGATGGGAGGTTCCACCATGCTCGGGGGTGGCACCATGAAGGTGGCTAGATCCGACCACGGGGCCTTGGGTTGACATGGCGACGACAATGGTCTCAACTGCAAGTCCGGTAGGTGGCATGGTAGTGAGAGATGGTGGTGCCACCATGTCGATCTCGGGATCGTGGGTGGAGTGGCTTTGGGCCGTCGCGGATCGAGCCACAGTGGCGGTTTTACCCCTCATCTTCTTGCTTCCAACCATGGTTGTTTGGAAGGCTTTGGTGGATTGGAAAATAGGAGGAACGGATTCCTTGAGTACGAGTTGAGTATAACTCGTGCTCTCAATGAAAGCACCAATTTGTGGGAGCAAACAAATTTCCCCACAAGAATATTCGATTGGAAAGATTCCCCTTTCTTCTTCGCCTCCTCTTTCTCCCTGAAAAATAAATTGGATAAGAGGACCACACCCGGGGGGTGTTGGCCAAAAGCCCTCCGATGCCTAAGTTAGTTCAATTGATTTAGGGAAAACCAATAGCTAAATAGGGTACGGAGATATATATGTAAGGTGTAAACCGGGCGGCCGGAGCCTTATGTAAAAGAGAGAAAGAGAGAGAGAGAGAGAGAGAGAGAGAGAGAGAGAGAGAGAGAGAGAGAGAGAGAGAGAGGAGGGGGCTAGGATTTGTGAGGGGAAGATCTCTACAAAGTTTTAGTAGAAATTTTGACGTACCCCAATTCTTGTGCGTAGGCAAGTATTTATAGGGGGCCTCGACGAGGTTGGTGAGGTTGGTGAGGTTGGTGTATTTAGAGATTTGATAGGTATCCGATCAATTCCCAATCTGATTAGGTAACTCCTCTTCTAATTGGAAAATGTGGTAGGAATCAAATCAATTCTCAACCTAATTAGGTAATATTCAATTTAATTGGGTAATCCCCAATTAAATTGAGTAACTCCCAATTCGGTTGAATAATTCCCAATTAGGTCAAACAATCCCCAAATGGGAGGAATTATTTGACCTAGGGTTCAGATTTAATTCGGTTCCCACAAAAAGCATATGCTTTATTCGCACTGCATTCTGTACTTATGAATCTTTTTTGAATTGAACCCAAGAACCTTTTCCATGTACTGACTAAACAAACCAGAAGAAGAACTAAACCAACTATTTGCAAGTAAATTCTTTTTTCTTTTAAATGAAATGACAGCACTCATTTGTGTGGAGCTTCTGCTTCCCACTAGGGAAAACAGACACCACACCAGCCATTCCTATATATATATATATATATATATATATGCACAAAACACATCAAAATTACAAAGACGTCTAAGCCCATGGTTTCTATACAAGACAAATCTGTGTCTCATGTGTCTTTTTTTGCACTTTGCAGCAGGGGGGGTGCTTTCAGATGATGATTCTGACCACCGCCCTTCTCCACTGTCCTCATGCAGTTTCTCTTCTCTGGCCTTACCCCATTTCACAGCATCAAAGCCAGTGATAATTACAGCTGCTCCAACCAAGCTGCAGTAAGATTTTGATTACTTCTTATGTACCATGGGCATAAAAAGAAGAAGATGGTATTTAGTACAATTTTAGCTAATTGCATCAAGTTTTTCATTCAAAAAGGCATAGATTACATTGAACTCAGAGGTATTGTGGGAACCTAATTAATTCACAAACCTAGGTCAAATAATTCCTTCCATTTGGGGATTATTTGACCTAATCAGGAATT